AGGTGCAGTACCAGCCAGCATTATTCCACAATTTCGGCCAGATACTTGGATATAATAACTCGGCATCCAAGCTGGTCTGAAACTGGCAAACTAATAGAAACACTCAGGTTCCCTGCCAGTTCCATGACAGCTCCAGGATACTACCAGGTCACTGTTATGGTGCCAAGCTGGATCCTCGAATCACATGCCCAAAAGATCGGCCGAAATTATGGCATAGTGTCAGCCAAAATTAATCGTAGATCTACTGCGCCACCCGATACGATATTTTTTTTATCACATTTTGGGATCTAGAAAGGCAACCAAATAGGCGCAAAAAAGGTAAGTACTTTAATATAGAATTTGACATTCAATCAGACACAGGAGGTCAGTATCAACAATAAATAACTTAAATTACAAATAGAGTAGAAACGGAAAGAAAAGAGAGGTATCTAGGTTAAAGCGTGGGTGGTATCTAGATTATAACGTGGTAATAAAATCATAGATAAGAGAAAAATACAGATACCAAGAAAGGTATAAAAATATAGCTAGAATGTAAACAGGGATAGCAATGAAACAAAGGGAGTAGATTAAAATGTGATAATCAGATTATATATTCAGATTAAAACGTGGTGATCAGGTCATAGTAATAAGATTATAGTATGGTAATTAGGTTATATCGTGATATTTAGAGTTAAGTGTGACATTTAGATTATAGTGTGGTATTTAGATTATATCGTGGTATTCAGATTATAGTATGATATTTAGGTTATAGCATGATACTATAACCTAGTCTAAGTGTGATATCCCACTTAGACTAGTGAAATAGATCATATATCTAAATGGATAAGTTCCTACCAGCTTATCCACCTGCCTGGATTACAGGAGTTTAATTTATGGTGGATCCAAGATTCTTATAGAGCTTGAGAAATATATTCACTTGGCAGGCCCAACTAGTTTATTCACCCACCTCAAGATCAAGGTATTTGCTTATGGTGGACCCAAGGTTCTTATGGAGCTTGGGAAATACATTCATTAGTGGTTTACTTTCTAGAATTCCAGACCTTAGGAGAGAATAGTGGAGGATATTTTTTGACAAGTTTCTTCTTCCTAGAGAAGTATTCTTGCCATAAACCAAATGGATCAAGTTTTATTTATTTTGTTGCCAGAATATATAAAGTTTTTCGAAGAAGAAAAAGTAAACAAATGGAGAAAGTATCAACCTTCAGGGAGTAAGGTTTTTAAGGAAAGTGTATAGACTTTATTATCAA